CGGGTACGGATACCCCCTCTCCCATCCTCATATCTACCTAATATTTTTCAATCAACCACCCGCCCACCACCCATGATGGGTGCAAATTTTTAAATCCACACCCGCCCACGTGGGTACATTCTCAAATCCATCCCCATACCCACTACCCACTAGTGATGTACCCGTCTAGACCCGCCTGAAAGCAAACTTAAGTTATATTTAAGCAACAAACATAAAAAAATATGTCCATTAAAAACATAATAAAATAATCCAAGATTATCTGAATTAAGTGTTAATATAAATTTTAAAGTACATAAAACGCCATAATAAAAGACATAATTAAAGTTTAGAAATATAAATGACAAACACATAATGTTTTTGTTCTTTGGCACAACATTCTAAAATTTCAAGCAATACTTGTGACATCTGATGCTCCAGTATTACAATCATCATTCTTTATTTTCTTCAATTGAGAGTGCTCCAATTTAAATTCACTACTACCTACATATAATAGAAAATAGGCGGGCATGCGGGCGGATATTTAGCTCGGGCGGGGATGCGGGGCGGGTAATGTCTCAAACCCATTACCCGCCCACTACCCGCGACGGGTATCACTTTCTAAATCCACACCCGCCCACTACCCGCTAAAATTATACCCATCCCCGCCCCAATTAGAGCGGATGCGGTGCGAAATTCACGAAATTGTACTCGTTTGCCATCCCTAATCAAAATATTTATTTCTTTTCTACCTTGCTCTGTCTTTCTCTTTCTTCTTAACCAAATTTTGCTCTCTTACCATTTTTAACATAAGCATTAAATATTGTCTAGGAACATCAATCTCAACCCATTGGTAAATTTACTTAAAAAAATATTATTTTTAAATTATTTAATAAAAGTAATATTTAAAAAAATTATTCAGAATATAATATTCTTATTTAACACATAAGATAAAAATGTATCACGTCAATCGTGATTTTCAAAAGACATTTCTTGTTGGTTATATCTTTATAAGGTTATTAGAGCTTGAAAAAAAGAGACATAAAACCGAAAGAATAAGCAAATAGATCTAAATATATAAAATTTATCTAAAAATAAAAAATATAAGCAATGTGCCAAAGGCACGTGATAGTACAAGCATGAGTTAGGTGGCAATAGAATCATGCATGTATGAATACTGGATTCAATCACTCAATAATTGTATGTTTAAAAAGTCATATTTAAATACTTGAAATAATCAATGACTAAGCAATGTGAGATTTAAGAATTCCATGGTTAAAATTATTAATTTTGAGTTGCAACAACTCTTGAACTTGATTAGACTCATATCAATATGATAGTTAAAAGATTTTTTTAGACATTTGAATCTCAACTAGTTCAGAATACAACAATTGAAACAGAAATTTGAGTATCCAAAACTTATTTTAACTATCATGCCGAAATGGATCTATTTAAGTTCAAGACATCTTTAAGAGCTCAAATCAATAACTTCGACCATAAATTTTTAAATCTCACGTTGTTTAGATATTATTTTTTCCAAGTATTTAAATACAACATTTTAAACATGCATTTATTAATAATTGAAAACAAAGTCTATACATAAGAGTCATTGTTGTCACCTCGCTCGTGTTTGTGTTAATACATGCCTTTAACATGTATTGTACATATTTTTTTAAACATAATTTAAAAAAAAAACAAGTCTATACATATCTTCTTGCATAGTCATAATCCAATGTTTAGTATTTAATACTTCTTTGATATTATCAGGCTCTACGCATGAGATAAATGCAACATAATTACAAATATTTTTAAGAGAAGATCTAGTGGTTACTCCTTTGGATGGATCACCCAAAATTTCGCCATCCTTGACATAATTGTACTCCCTTCAGTATGTGACTTCCTTTTCCTCTAGAGTTAGATTCTTGAAGACATCTTGAGTTTCCTAATTCTTTACTTCTTTCAACGATTATTCACCAACTTCGTTTGGATTTAAGATACATGCATCGTCATCGATACAAGAATCCTTCCTCGGAAGGGGATTATCATCGAAAAACATATATTGACTCTTCTACCACTAGAGTTCTTTTATTAAAGACTCAATAAGCTTTAGAATTTAAAGAATAACCAAGAAAAATCTTTTTATTACTTTTTGCATCAAATTTATCAAGATTGTCATTTTCATTATTTAAAACAAAAAATTGCATCCAAATGATGAAAATAACTAATGTTAACTATGAAATTTTCTTTAAAATAGACCTAATCATTACTCTATTAATCACATAACAAGCGGTATTTGTGGCTTACGCCCAAAAATACTTTGGCAATTTTTTTTCACAAGCATAATCCTAGCCATTTCTTCTAAAGTTCTATTTTTCCTCTCAACAACTCCATTTTGTTGAGGGATTCTAGGGGATGAAAAATTATGGTTAATTCCTTTAAAGTTACAAAAATCACCAAAACCAATATTTTCAAATTTGGTTCCATGGTCACTCTTAACACTTAAAATAGAGTAACCTTTTTAATTTTGGATTATTTTAGAGAAAGTGATGAAATTTTCTAACGCTTCATCTTTTATACTTAAGAAAGAACCCAAGTAAACATAGAGTAGTCATCTACCAATACAAATGCATATTGTTTTCCACCCAAGCTAGTAGTTCTAATAAGCCCAAAAATATCTATATGGATCAGTTGTAATACTCTACTAGATGATACATCATTAATAGGTTTAAAGGAAGTTCTTTTGTTTTGCCTTTAGCACATGCATCACAAATTTTATCAATATCAAATTTTATTTTAGGCAAGCCTCTTACTATAATGCTTTGAACAAGATTTTGTAAAACACTCGTGCTAGCATGTCTAAGTTTCCTATGTCACAACCAACAACCATGCTCATCTTTAGCAACCCAACATATTTTTAAAATATTTCCATGTAAACATATATTAGAAATATCAATATTATCTAGCATGTCCAAGTTTCCTATGACACAACCAACAATCATACTTCTTTGTTTGTTCAAAATGTAAACAACAAGGTCATATACCTTTTGGTATATGTTGATGATATTATCATCATCGGGAATGATGCCTTTGAAGTTGAACAGGTTATCATTGATTTGAACAAAGTTTTTTTTCTTTAAAAGATTTGGGTAAACTAAATTTCTTTTTGGGTATACAGGTTACTTACTCTTCTGATAGCATTTCTCTTAGTCAACGAAAGTATGTTGAAGAGTTGTTGACTAAGGGGTTGTTTGTTTGCCTCTTAATGGAACCATTTAGCATTGAATGCTGAACGGTTCAGCATTTAGCGCGTTTGTTTCGCACCTCTGAATGATTCAGTGCTGACTGATTCAGCAAAACAATGCTGAATGATTCAGCACAGAAGTACATTCTGAATGATTCAGAGCCATTATCAAACAACATGTCACATTCAGAGCTAATTCATACAGAGCCTCTGAATCATTCATCATTTGAATCATTCAGTACTTAATCATTCTGAAGTAAACAAACATCCCCTAAGTATGATTTTAGTACTACTAAAGGGTTACCTACACCCATGGTGACTAATTGTAAGTTATCTACTAAAAGAGGGTCTCCTATTGTCAATCCCACTGAATATCAAATTATTGTGGGAGCCTTGCAGTATGTTACTATTATCAGCCCTAACATTGCTTTTGTTACTAATCGTGTTTCTCAGTTTTTGCAGTCACATGTGGATGAACATTTTCATGTTGTCAAACGAATCATGAGGTATCTTTAGGGTATTATTGATTATGTCTTAGGTTTACTAATGCTTCTCGATTGTTTATCATAGGTTTTGTGAATGTTCATTGGGGTTTCGATGTTGATGATCGACGATTAACAACTAATTTCTGTGTTTATTTTGATGGAAATCTTGTATCATGGACAACGAGGAAGCAACAAGTTGTTTCACGGTCCACTGTTGAGGTAGAGTATAAGACTGTAGTATGTGCTACCACTGAGGTTATCTTGTTATAGTCATTATTAAAAGAACTATATGTTGTGTCGGATGATAAGTTTGTGAGTTTGTGTTATAATTTGAGTGTTGTTGTTGTGTCAGCAAACCTTTGTGATGCATTTAAGCATGTTGAAATTGACTTATTTTTTGTTCGTGAGAGAGTTGCTTCTGGACAACTCATGGTGAATGAAGTTACTGCCTATGAATAGGTAGTTGATATTATGACTAAACCTTTGTCTGGTATTTATTTTTACTCGGCTCAGAGATAAATTGAAGGTTTTATCAGTTGCTATTGCTAATGTATATTGAGTATTGATAGGTGAATGTTTTATTTGCTTTTTCCTGTGATTGTGTTTTTTTCTTGCAGGGGGTCCTGTTTACTTTTGTTTTAAATGTTGTAAAACAATAGAAAGTATAGTGAATGTGAAATATATAGTTGTGCTGAGTGTTGCTAGAATGGGTTGTTTTCTCATTTGGGTTTGTTTGTGCTACACTAGCTAGTTGTTGTGTCATTACGATTGGTTGAGGTTATTAAGGTTGTTAGGGTTTCTTCAAATAATTGGTAGATGTTCTTGTTGTTGTATATATACACGGTTCTCTTTTAAAAATATTACAAGTTTTTATCAATAAAATCCATGAGAGTGTCGTCTCTATTTGTTTACTTTAACAATTAACGTCCAACTCATACTATTGTCAATTTTTTTAATGAACAAATACGAGTTCAGAACATAATTAATAGTCAAGTGATCATCATGTAATTTTTAATAATCGATGGACTCAATAAAGTAGTATTCTATAATTAGAAGACCATTTGTGTAATTTACCCTATAAATTAATATATTAATTTATGTGTTTTCTTTACCTTATGTTCAGATTATATATTATTTATTTATTTAAATTATTTTAAGATTTATATTTTGAACATAATTATAATAGAGAAAAAATATAAATAATGTTATGGACGTCTGTCTTCTTGCCTCACCACCAAGTGGCTCTTCCTCCAAAAGCCCACCAAACTCTTCATTCAGTATATATTATCAACATTGGACCGTTCAGAGCAAAGAAGAAAACGAAAACGAAGCAACTGTACTTACTTTACTTCCTATTGGCTTCTTTCCTTCTATTCTCTGCTTCACATCAAACATATTCAGGCTGCCACTCCCCAATCCCTAATCTCAATCTCTCTTCTTTCATCACTTTTCTTTCATTTTTCCTGTTTGCCAAACAGCGTCAACCCTGAACCCCCTGTTTTCGTCCAGACCCTGACTGTACTTTTCCGTAGCGGCGGCAGTGGTGGGTCAATTAGTTTAAGTCGCCGGCGGTAAGAGAGAAAAAGAAAACAAATGACTGAGCTGCAAATTTCAGAGACAGAGAGTAGCTCTAACTCCTTCTGTTCTCTTCCGTTATCACCCTCATCTCCTGGTTCAACTCATTCACATACTAGCTCAGCCCCTAACTCAACTACTACTGTGAACGTTAAACCAGAAGCCAGTTTGGATTCTAACAAGAGGAGTAAGAGACTGAGGGATTCGAGCAAGCATCCAGTATACCGTGGCGTCCGAATGCGAAGCTGGGGAAAATGGGTGTCCGAAATCCGAGAGCCACGCAAAAAATCACGCATTTGGCTCGGCACTTTCCCCACATCCGAAATGGCGGCCCGCGCTCACGATGCCGCCTCTTTAAGCATCAAAGGCGACTCAGCGATTCTCAACTTCCCTCAACTGGCCAACTCGTTACCTCGACCCGCGTCATCAGCACCCCGTGACGTCCAAGCCGCGGCAGCCAAAGCTGCCCAGATGGAACAATTTGAGTCTCCCCCATCGTCTTCCACACTGTCGTCGTCGCCATCGCTGTCGTCTTTGGTTTCTCATATGGACTTATCTTCAGGGTCGGACGAGTTAAGCGAGATAGTGGAGCTGCCAAGTCTAGGGCCGAGCTATGACTCAGTGGAGTTGAAGAATGAACTCGTGTTTATAGAGTCGGTGGATGGGTTGTTTTATCCTCCTCCATGGATTCAAAGCTTGGAAGATTGCGGGTATGCTTGCGATCAATTAGTAGTCCCAGAGAGCATTTTACAAAATGGTTTCGAAGAAAGTTTGGTATGGGAGTATTAGTGTTTTTGTGTTGTTAATGAACTCGACTTCGTATCTTTTCTCTTTGTTTTGGACCCTTTTTGCTATATTTCTTTCAAGGGTAAAAAACTAAAAACTCTTGTTTTTTGCTCTGTTTATTTGACTTTGTGTACAGTGTTTAGGATGGGAAGAAGAGGAAAGTGTCTTAAACTTTTTGGTTGGTGCAAACACGGCGTCGGGTTTAATATAATGTCCACCCGTGTATATTCTCTCAAACAAACAACTTGCCATTGGAGAATAGGAAATGGTAAAAAAAAAAAGTTTATTTATTATTGTGAAAAGAAAGGCCAGCCTGAATGGTATTGAAAAGCTGTAAATTCTCTGGTTGCCATGAGTGTTGACGGTGAAAGTTTCCCCTGTTAGAGTTGCAGTATCTATCTTACCCTTTTCTATCTAACTTCTTTAACTTTCCATTAACGTCTCTTTTGGTTAAAAAGCATAAAGCATCATCATCTCTTCTTCTTTTGGTTAAAAATAATGGGGTGCCTCCAGATTTTACCCTCGACGTTCATTATTTAATCTCTTTCTCACTCCCAACTAATTATGTTGTTGAAAGCTCAACACATTTTACGAACCGCAATAAAGGGAAGTGGATAAAGTCTTTTAAAAACAAGATACAAGGGTATCAGGATTTTTCTTGCCCGGTGTTAATAAAATTAGGATAAATTATACATTTAGTATTTGAATTATTATTTTTATTTTTTATATTAAAAATTATTTTTTTCAAAATCATAGTTTAGATATTAAATAAAATTATACAATAGATCTCATTAATTTATAGTATAATTAGGGGGGAAATTATGAGGATAGATATTGCCTCTTACCAAAGTTGAGATTTAATATTAACAATTAATTAATATAGAAAAGGAAAAGCCCACATGCTGTATTTTATATATATATATATATCATTTACGTATTGGACAATGTAACTTTTCTAGGCAACCCCAAATATTTGGTAAAATGCTATTGAAACTTGACATTTCCTTTTAAATTGATATTTGAATCTTATTTTGTTTCAATTTTATATCTAAATTTGGAGGGAAAATATATTGATATTTTTTTGATTTGATATTTTAATAATTAAATAAATTATTGAAATAATATTAATTAATTACAACGATGACGTCATTAAATCTCATGCGTTAAACTATTATTTGTGTTCTGTTTTGATACCTAAACTTTATTTTTTTTCAAAATCATACTTATCGTTTAGTTTAAGTTTCATTTTGGTACCTCATCGTTAAAAACTTAACAGTGATGTTGACGTGTCACCATAAGATAATGTCATGCATCATTAAAAAAAATAAAAAAGTCACTTTAGTCGTTCTTTTAATTTTTTAACTGCGAATACCAAATTGAAACCTAAACTAAACATTATATATGATTTTGAAAAAAAAAATAAAGTTTAAGCACTAAAATAGAACAAAAATAAGTTCCCAAACTATAGTTTAAATTAACTTTAAGTGTCTAAAGAATTTTTCGTTAAAAGTATGTGTCTAAGATTTTCTCTATTATAATTTTAGGTATCTATCCCGTAATGATCGTTAAAAATTATTGTTAATAGACATGTGTCGTATTTATATTTTTTTTAAAATTTTTATTTTAAAAAATAATAAAAATTACTTTTAAGAAAAAAATATCCTAATTCTTCTTGCAAATCCCCACCACCCGCACCCGTTGCGCGCAAATCCTCCCAGCTCACCGGCGCAAATCCCCTCTTCCCTTCCATGCGTAAAACCCTCCTTCTTCCCTACTTCATTCTTCAATCAATCGTATTTCAATGATAAATGTAGGATTATGATTAGGGATTTAGGTATTAGGTTTAAGGATTTAAGTTTAGGGATTTATGGATTTAGGGGGATTGGAACAATGATAATATAAATAATCGATAATAGAAGTCCGACAATCACTGGATGGTCGTTCGACGATGTCTTAAGTGGCAGAAAATGGTCAACGACGATTAGTATAAGATTTGGAATGAAAGATTTTAGGGTTATGATTTTTTTATAATTTCAAAAAATTTAAGGTTTTTTAATTAATAAAATTCTTAATTTTTTTAATAAAAATTCTAAATAAAAATTCAGAAAATATAATTGTGATACGTGTCACTTAACTTTTTTTTAACAGTCGTTACATTATAAACACCTAAAAATGTATCGTTAGAAACCTTATACATTTATTTTGAACTGAAATTTTTTTAAAGACCTAAAATTAATTCTAGATGCAATTTAAACAATTATTTTTGTATTAAACCCAAATTTAAAAAGAATATTATTAAAAAAAGATAATACAAAATGATACATTGACGATGGATATGAGTTGATGGGCAGCCATATCGGACACCAGAACCTTGAAGCCCCACGTGTTGTATTAAGATTTGTTTTTACTTAAAAATGATTGCTCTTCTTGGCCCCATAGGATAATGATGCTTCTCCTTACCACAACAACAACAAAAATGTTACCCTTTTGGCCATTTCTTATTATTATTTTTGTCATTTTTTCCTTTTCAAGTCCCCAGTGATTATTAAATTATTATTCAATTCATATACCATTTAAAAATGGGATTAGTAAAATAAAATTATAAAGTATGAAATTAAATGAATCACGACACTAAATATGAAAATAATTACATGTCATAAATAGTTTTGTCAAAGAGATAATAAACTTTTTTTTTGGTGCAGTTAAAATTTTTAATAAATTAAAGTTATTGCTTCGTATAATTAATGATTATTGACGAATTCATCAAATAATTTAGTAGTAAAAGAATATTTTTCTTTTTAGAAGTCTTGAATTTAAACAGTTATATATACATGATGTATATTATCAATAGATTAAGAAAAATCTAAACATGTATTACTATAATCACCTCATACTATTTAATTTTTAAAAAACAATATTTGCCACATGTTTTAATAAAAAGAGAAATTAATTTTTTACACTTATAATAGTTTATTTATTAATTGGTTAATTTTAGCTTAATATCATATATATTTATTATGAATGTAATTCTTTCAATTGAATTTTCTCCGTACACAATATTAAAATTCAATTTATTTATCTTAGCACCTTGCTTAGAGATGGACCGAATGAGTGAGATTATTGTCTCTTAAAAATTTAAAATTATCATATATTTTAAATCATTTTATATGTATTTTCAACAGAAAATATTTTTTGCCTCTTAGAATTTTATAAGCTCACATCTTTTTAAAATTTTAGAAATTTGCCCCTAACATAAAATCATGCCTACGTCCTTATCGATTACTTCTTTTTCTTTTTGATCTTTGTTTGGTCAGCACCAACACCAACATTAATGTTATTTGTCGACATGGTATTCCTTATTTTTTTCTTTCTTCTATTATATCACATATTTATTTTCCTTTTTTTTAGTTTTTAATATCTCTATCTTTATAACATATTTTTTATATCATTATCACATGTTTTCTCTCTGTTTTGGCGCATTTTTAATATATTTTATTGGTCAACTGATCATTCTTTTTTATTTTTCTTTTTCTCAATGTTGGATTTAAAAACTCATTATCAATATGACATTTAATTATTATCCTGGTGATCTTCCATGTTTTAAACCTTCATATTGGATTTGAATACGCAGTTACGTTTGTGGATAATTTACTCACGTAACTCAATTTTAATTTAGGATTGTCGATAACTTTTGATCTCTTTTCGTAGTTTGTTTATCGATACAATTGAATTTGTTCGTATCTATCTTTGTTCGAGTTTTTTTAGTTATATTTTTAATATTTTCTTTATACTATCCTTGTATGATCTAATAAAAAACAGTCAATAAAATTTTCTTATATAATCCCTGTGCCTATCTTAGGTCAATAATTATAGAAAAAAATTTAAAAACTAACTTCTTCTTCAAAAGAATTTAATTATCATCAAGATTTGATGTGTTGTACACCCCATTGGTTCCATATAATTTAGATTCTTTTTACTTATTTTATAAAAAATAATCTGCATTGAATAAGATTAGTGGAACACTTTTAGTCTTCAAACAAACTCATGCCACATAGATTGAATTTATCTAGCAGGTACCATTGGCATTAAATAGAAATCGACCTTGCTTTCTTCCCCCGAAACAACTGTGTCCAACATTTATCAAATGTAAATCATTTCAAAAACTATAAACCTCCGGTAAACGTGCCACCGGCGGGGACACCGCCGTCATTCAGACATATTTGACCTTTTGGTGACCGACTGTCGGCATCTGAATTTTTATGCGACGTGTTTTACCCCTGAACCACTGGTATTACTTGGATGGCTCTTCTGTACCCAAAGATAAACATGACAAATTTTGTAAGATAATGGTGTGGAAAAAAAATTCGTGAGATAATGTTATTAGAGAATTAGTTATTGAGATAAGGTGTTTGTTATAGGAAGAGCATTGGTCGCCAGGTGCTTTGGGCGACCAAGCCATTCGAGCGTTGGAGGTCGCCAAGTATGCCAGGCGACATATAAGGTCGTCATGTGATTTCCACCCATCCAATTCCCTCTTGCGCATGCTTCTGCTCATCCAACTTGAATTGGAGTTTAGTCGCATGCATTGTTTTTGCTTTATTCTTTTAGAAATTTAAAATCCTAATTTAGGCCATTTCTATTTTATGTTCTTCAAATACTAGGGTTAAAAAAGAAGAAATCACCCTTTAGTCCCTTTTATTTCAGCTTGTTTTCACACTTAGTTCACCATTCCTTTGTTGCTTTCTATGATGTTCGAACATGTTATACCTATTTTGCAATTCTTCATCTTTGTTTTGTTGTTCTGATCACATTTTTTATTATTTGAATCTAATGTGCTTTGTTTATTTATCTTGTATTCGATCCGAATGTCTTGCTTGTCGTTGTTTCGAATTTGGTCTAATATCTCCTATTATTTACAATTTAGTCATCGTTTTTTATTATTTTATTAATTTCGAATTATTTATATTTTTTTACATATTACTTCCATACATTGTATATTGGTGCCTTATCTTATATATAACCTATATGTATTTTCTATATAAAATATTAATTTGGTAAAGCTGAATATTCTCTACCGAGTGGGAGTGAGAGTTCATCTCAACATCCTAAAGCGATGATATATTGTAATTATCCTATACTATTTATAAAAAAATAATATTTTAAAATATATTATTAAAATACAATATACAACAAATAATATAAGTAACTATTGATTTTGTGAACCTTAAACCCTAAAATATTTTGGTTGTTGTTGAAAACCTTTATAAATTCATGATATGTTGAGGGAAATGAAAGGGGT